CGTGCAGCTGGGGGCAGGGAGGAAGGGATTTGTGTAACAAAAATCATCCCACTTCAATCATAAGCCAATAAATGTTTTGTGCAGTCCTCTCTCCACCTTTAAATGGCATTAGAAGCATACAAGAGGGGAGAAAACCCATCTCCTGGTGGAAACGGCAGCGAGGCGATGTCCCTTCTCCCTGCCTCCGCGCCCCAGCTCCCCCATCGCCTCCCGTCTCCGGAGCGGAGGCATCTCCTCCAGCAGTGAACCTTAGCTGGGATTGAACCCATTGTCCGGAGCAGGAAAGCGGGTCTTTGACCTGCTGCACGATAAACCAAAAAAAAAACCCAACCAACCAAACAAAAAAAACCCCAAACAACATCAACCCAAAGAACATCTCCCCCCTTTCGGAAAAAACCTCAGTCCTCACTTGCACCCGTGGCTTGTCCACCCACCTTTCAGAATCGCTCTTGCTGGCTGCTGGCATGTTAAAAAGCTCTTTTTTTTTTTTTGCTGCGAGATTTCTTCCCCGACGCGCTCTGTTCTTATCACCTGTTTGCTGGAAGGTCAAATGGAGCTGCAGAAGGTTTCTGTACATAGATACATCACTTGTCTGGCCTGACGCCTACAGAAGAAAGGTTTCTGTTTGCCAAAGCGAACGCCACGTGCGGCAGTGGGGTTGTTTTTTTGGCGTATGTGATATTTGCCTCTTTCCTCTTCCACATATTTCCTAGGCAGCTAACGACAGCTTAGCCACTGGCTGAGGCCCGTGAAGACCCCGTTGAGAGGTACCGCCTGCATCTTTGCAAGAACCAAATTGGCTCACAGCAGCTGAGCAACAGAAAGTCAGTCATCACCACTGAAGCAAGGAAACGAGATGCTGGTCTGCGCGCGGAACCGTTCGTTGTCCGCAATGAACGGAGTTACAGCCTCGTCCGCCGGCGGCCTCAAATCCTCCTCGCCGCCTCCGAGCTCTAATCCGCGGGACGGAGCTGTCTTACGGCGCTAAAGCGTGACTTCCGTCCGCCGAAACCGGGTGGCAATTCGTTCTCCGCGGCAAAGAACTGAACGCGTGTGAACAAAATACATAGGTAAATACAGCAGGACATTACTGGAAACAGCTGCCTTACAGTACAAAATACAGTACAAGTGTATGGATGTAATTCAAACATCAAGAAATACTATTGCTCCCGTATGATTTAGGAAACCGAGTTCTTTGCAACGGAGAAGAATAAAAACAGGAAAACAAAAGAGTTCTTTTAAAAATCCCTTAAAAAGACCTATGGACAATGGGAGGACAGGATTCATTTTTGAGAAGGGCAGCGATACACATTCGCGGCTGACAGACGGACACACGGGTAACATTCCTGGTAACATTGCTGGATTTCGGGTAGGGGATGGAGCTAATCCCCCCCACACACACACCGCCACAACCGCGTGAGAAGAGTCGCTTTCGTCTGTTCCTCGTTTTCCAATAAATACAAACTGAACAGATAGTGTAGAGAGAGGAATACCAAAAGAAGGGTATGCAATAATAAATTAACAAGGCAGCTCAAATCAAAGGGCAGGCATGCACAGTTTCCAAAAAAACAAAAAGAGAAAAAACACCAAAAAAAGTCCTAGAGACTCTAGAAGATGTCACACAAGTAATACCTGAAACTTTGGAATGAACAGCGGGCTCCCCATTCAGTTCAAAGTTACTAGTATACGATAACGTGGCTAAAAAAATACCTTTCTGGAGGGGTAGGACTGACCCGATTAGCTAAAAAAAAAAGACCATTTGAGAGTGAAAATCCATTTAATAATAGAAGAGGTGATCGTTGAAAAGACCCCAACTTTATTCTGGAACAGCTGGACGAATTGGCAGTAGCCAGTCTCTGGTGAAACTTGAAGGTGGTAAAAAAAAATACCCGCTGCCAGGGTATAGTTATAGTCACAGAGCTTATCGTTTTTCGCGTCGGCGCCTTCACTGCGATGGGCCCGAAGCTCCCACAGGTTGTGTGTGTCGCGCTAACAAGCCAGCCCTTGCCAACTCCGCTGTTAACACGATGTGAGGTACTGAGGAAACGGATCGAGTTCGTTTGCTAAAAATTCTCGTAAAAGAAGAACTGATGGATTTCTGCACCTGAGGTTCTTGGTGGTTTTGAGTCAGACTGATGCGTCCACGGATCCCCACCGAAGCCTCCAGTTTTGCTCGCGTCTCGCTCGGTGCCGGTCGTTCCTTTGCCCAGATTAAAGACTTGCAGCCGCGTTTCTTTCTTTTTTTTTCTTTTTTTTTTTTTTGCTCTTTCCCAACCGAGCGACAGCTTTAAGAAATAGCTAGTTTTAGCGACCCAGCGACTGGGGCTGGATTGCCGTCACCCACCGGAGCCAGGGGAAAACTGGCTCGCCTTCCTTCCAACTACTAAAGCCAGTGCTCTTTCGAGACCACCTTATTTGGAGAGAAGGGGAAGATCTTTAGTGAGCAGCAGCCAATCCATCGAGCTTTCCTTGTGCTTTATGCCTGCTTTTTCTTTAACCTACCTCTCTTTGCAACCCCCATGTTAAAAGGAAAAAAAAAAATCAAAACAAGAAAGTGTTCTTTAATCTTCAGAAACCTGCCAGCTTTTAACTAGTTCAGTTATGGGTTCCAGTTCAGACGCCTGGAGTTTAGCAGTTTGCATCCCAGAAAACAAACAATTCTGCAAAGGAAAAAAAGAAGAGACAATGGACGTTGGTCCAGATACGGCCCCCCCTCCCCACCCCTGAAATCACGCTTCCGAAAGCTCCCGGTCTCAATCTCTTTCTCTCTTCCCCCCCCACCCCCCACTCGCAGGCCCTGTTTTTAAATGCCCGTCTTCTGCCCGGCTAAGTCCATGATTGATGATTTCTACATGTCACGGCTCTTTCCCCGTCACGACCTGCACCCTTAGAGCTGGGAAGCCGCAGTGGCCTCGCTCCCTTCTCTTCGAGCTCGGCGCGCTGTGGACGCCAGGATGCTGGTTTCGATGGTGGTGGGGGCACAACGTTGACACAGACAGAGGGGTTTCGGGGCAGGAAAGGAGAGAGGATCCGGGAGGCCCCCCCCTTGCTCCCCAAAAAACAGAGTCCTTGGGCTGAAGCAGGCGTAGGGGAGGAGGGAGGATCCAGGCGGCTGGGTCCTCCGGCGCCGGGGGAGGATGGTGCGCGTCCCGGGCTC